TCTTCTTAACTCTTTAAGAGCTACAAGAAGAGCAATTGTATATATACCCACCAAAAGCCTTTTTCTCTTCCAATATGGGGCAATGTCTCATTGTCAAGAGAGGAAAACTTAAAATTTTACTCAAAAATTTCATTTTCCCTCCATTTCTCATTCACCCTCTTTTTAAGACTTTTTCATCTTAAAAAGAAACTCAACAAATAAGACCCAACAGACATGACTTTATTGGTAGACATGGATGCACCAAAAAATATTTTTTGGATTTCGTGCAAAAGTTTCGTATAAGGTGGACTTGCTATGTGTTCACGGATCCTATATTTGCAATTTTCTGTTGCCTTAGCAAGTTGAACTACCGCAGATTTGGTTGGCTAGACATTTATGTCTCGTTGAAATTGAAAATAGTGTTAACCAAAGAACTTCTGTCCAATTTACACTCCAGCTTAGACCGTGTGAGCTTTGGATCTCTCTGGTTCTCTAGGAATGCCTTTCTAGAAATTATGCAACAGTAAGTATGTAATTTGATTGTCAAGCTAATCTTTACCTATCTGACTGTTAATGATTGTTAGTCTTAAACATCTTCATTCGAACAAGCCCAAGCAAACAGTAATGTCATTTCAGTAGATATATTAACTGGTTGTCATCTAGCAAAAGTTGATATAGGAGTCAGAGGTAACTTCATTTCACTGATTCTTTTAACTGAGACGTGTATTGCCGCTCCTCGGCTATAGTATATATAGTAGTATCCGTATATATGTATGTAAAACTAGCTAGATGCCCTATTGCATCTGTTTTTAGTGTTAAAGCGACAATTTATAGGTGTAAAACTTTTAATTTCTTTGTGCGAACTGATGCCATTCACAATGGAATGTGAAATTATCTGAATGTTCATTAACTTTTCTAACAGATATAATGTAATTTCATAGTTAAAAGAAGAGACATGATATGTATCTGTCTATGTTCATTTTCATATAGACTAGAGTCGCCTTTTGTGATACTCATCTTAAACCTCTAGTCGAATATGACATACATAGATTATCCACCCTGTCAGCTTTGAATAGACCTCCTACAGACTTGTAACATGAGTTTCTGCAGATCCTGGGCTCGTGCTCAACACGGGCATCAAACTCTCTAGTTTACAATATATTTGCCATTATCTACGGATTTGTAGCTCTTCCTAATGGTTGGTTGTCCTCTTATAACATTGTCAAAGGAAGTAATAAACTAAACCAATTAATTTCATCCTAATAACTAGCTATTGAAACCTTTATTGGGGCTTGATAATTCAACCAAATGAAAGTTTCACACTGCCCAAAGGAAGGAAATGGAGTAGCAGATGGACTAGCTAAGCATAAAAGCTCAATGCTGGCTTACTTGAGTGCAGAAATATGTCATAATTAATGCGCAGGAATTACCTAAGGAAGTGCTAGGGGAGCTTACCGAATGGATATTCTCTAATTGTCTACGTAAATTCAGATTAATTAATAGGCAAACTAAGAGGAAACAAGTTTACAACAATTATATGTTGTACAAGAAGGGATGTTTTTCATATAAATTTTGGTAGAAGGTAAGATACTTGATATACCTAACCATAATGCTTTGGCTGGGATCAAATGTATATAGGGAACCTAATATAATTGTACTAAAAGGAGAGAACAGAATTTTCTCTACTATTTGTACATATCAACTGACTAAATGCCTCAAGGTTCAAAAGGAATAGGATATATTATAGTAACACAAGCTGCATCAATGTTAAACTTCCTAGAGGTACCTTATCAAATATCCTTCCTATAGGTGTTAGTGTATCATTGAGTTTGGCTTTAGCTAAAACTCTTAGCTATCAGAATGATACTGTTTCTTTTCCAAGAATAAGAAAACTTCTGCTAGTACTTGTTCCTGTCTTTTCTATACCTTAGCTAAGATGGAGGGGTGGAGAAAAACTACCAGTCATATCATATTCTTTAAATTTCTTTTTGAGTTCCCTTAAAATTAGGTACAACTTGCATTATAAACACTTGAAAAGGCCAATCAAGCAAGAAGTAGCACCAAGGAATGAAATAACCGGAAGCTCCATTGATAATGACTAAACAATCAAAGAACTGTACCCTCTCATAATTTTAGCATTTGCCACAACAAAACTAAGGATGGTTTTACCAGCACAAATCCAAAACATAAACACTACACAAGCAAATCGGTTTATTACGAATTCCATGGATTAGAGTGTATTACTTATGATGCCTTTTCCATTAACTGAATTGGAGCCAGGATGTTTGCCTTGCTTGTCTCAACAACACACCCATTCATTACCATCTCCTCCAGCATGAAGTGTGCTTTTTCAAGATGAAACATTATATCCAGCTCGCACTAAATTAGACAATACACAAATCAGAAAAAAAAAATGATACTGATAATGTTTGTTAAAACTGAAGGAAATATCAAAAAGGACGACAATAATTTACTTGATCATAAGCTTACCACATTGCCAAAATGACGATCCATGGTTTCAACTAACAGGTGAATGAATTCCAAAATAGCAAGTTCATTCTGACAAATGGAAGAGATGAATAATGAGAAGGCAAACCACAAAGAGAAAAGAAGAGTAGAATTAGCTTATGANCATCTATATACTGCAATGTGTTCCTAAAGGTTATCTAGAATTGATAGAGAGCAAGGCAACCAAGTAAAAAAGGCATGGATTGCACTTTCAAAATTAACATTAAAATACTTCTTTTTCCCTCTTTTTCTTTGGCTGTTATAGCATTTAAGATACTCTGATTATATATGTTCAAGGTACGAAGAACGCCTCCCGCATTAGCAAAGCTGATTCTCAGGAATGAAGCATAAGTGAAGTCTCCTTCTACAGAGAGAGTAAGCACGGGCCAAACTAGACAGTACTTGATAGCAAAAATAAAGAGGAAACTTACAGCACTGAACTTTTAATATACAACAAAGAAGAAATTGCAGGAAGAAAATATATTTAACTTACTTCTTCATTATCAACTCCAACCAGGAAAAAGAGTGACGCATACCGCCTGTACACGATTTTGTAATTACGATGCTCCACAAATGAACACTGCTTTCAAGCGCACAACAAGGCCAACAATAAGAGAAGAATTGTAAAAGAGAGCAATGGATATCAGAACATTATGTACATCAAGGTTCACTAACACTCTACGGAGAAATGAACTGCCACCTACAGCGCCCCC